CTGAAGTTCAGCTCAATTAGGTTCACTTCGAGAGTGAATGCCCACTGTATTTACAGCGTATGCATTATTGGTTCGACAAAAAGCCGGTCTTGATTTGATCAGATTTGATTTATAGAGAATGCACAAATAATGAAACAGAGAACACTATGTTTGTTAAAAAGATACCTTTTTTTGACGGATATTGAAAGTTGAAAGTCCTAATTTTCTTTTTTCCTTGAACGTTTTGCAACTGTACAGTATGTTCTTGAATGCGGTCATCCTGGCTGTCTGGGAAAGGCCATATCCGCTGGGCAGCATAGAGCGCTGGAGGACACTCAATGTCAAAGTAAACAAATCAATATGGACACATTTCTAAAGCCTCAGAACATGTTTAGCTCTGTCGAGGTTTATTTTTATATATACCTCAGAGGCATATAGCCCAAACAGGTGCAAAGAGGTAAAAAGTAGTGCTTTATTTTCCGTGGACACTTTGACCAGCTACACATCGTCTGGAGCTCCACTTAATGTGCACGTAAACACCCAAACCCTCTCAACCAAATATCAGGATAAGAACCTTGCTCATGCTCTGATGTGTTTCAACGTTGAAATGTTCAAATAAAAATCTAAGAAATAAAAAAAGGGATACTGAGTATGAAAGGCATATTAAACTCTACATACTGGGTGAATAATAAGAGGTGCAAATTAATTACAATGAACCGTCTAATGTACTTTCACAATTATTGTATGTTGTCACACCAGTATAGCCAGTGACTGCAGTGCTTTTAACTTATATTAGATGTATAGAACTAATAGCATTAATTAAAGAAGGGCTAACCATTAGCTGTAGTGCAGTAACTGCCACTGGTTTTCTGAAGCACTGCTGAGGCCCTTTTTTGTAATTTCATTGACCACATTGATGTTAATACTACAAGAGTGAATTAGTGTTAAATACTTTCGACTGAAATGTCATATCATGAATGGATGGTATTGTATTAAGTCCTGTCACTCGTGGTTAAGCACCCTAGGCCTCTTTAGTCGGCTTTCCTCTTTATTTTTCTTCCTCCTCGATTTGAACCCTCTCCTCCTGTTTCCTCCGCCTTTCCCTGTCTGCATTTGTTCATCCTCCTCCTCCTTCATCCTCTCTGTGTGTGCGTCTCCGTCCTTTCACCTTCCCGCATCCTATCCCCGCCCCCCCTCTTCTTTCATCCCGTCTACATCATCCTCTTTCCTTTTCTTTTTCCATCCCGTCCTCTCCCTCTCCCCTTTAGTCGGAATCGTATTTCCTGCAGGCGGCCATTTTTTCCCCGCCTGCAGAATAAAGGAATCAAAGCGCTGCTAATGGAATTACAGTCACTCCCATCATCACACGGGCTGATACAACATCATAAACACACACACACACACACACACGCTCGCACACACAACACGACTGTGCATGTGCAGGACGGACACGCAGAGAGACACGCGGTCAGACAGACAGATTAGTGAGCTCAGTGTTACTAAAGTTTTACTCTCCTCTAATCCTCTCACTCACGCACACACACACACACACACACACACATACATAAAAAACACACACACTCTCGGTGGGGTGCACCCGTTGAGAGGGGCAGGCAGTGCGAGATAAACTGATCACGCAGGAGTATAATATGCCGAAAGTGATTATGTGTGTGTCTGTGAGTGTCTGTGTGAGATAGTGAGCGAAAGGGGGAGATGATGATGATGATGATGATGATGATGATGTGCTACAGCAGTCGGTTAGAGGATGTTAATACACACTGGAGTCGATGGTAGAAAGAAAAAGGGAAGATGTTTTCCAGCGTAGAGAATCCTCAGAGACCAAATGCATGTGTGGTAAGAGTTCGCTTTGCTTTAGCCTTCTAGGTGCTCTGCCTTTGAAATAACAGAAACACTCTGAAAGCCATCCTACAGTTTAGAGAAAATGGGGAAAATGTAGCTCCATCCAAGTCATGGGAATGCTCCAAATTAAAACCATAGTGCTATTTCCAATAGGGAACAGCTGCGTCTGATACCGAGTGACCTCATCGCCGATGAATGTAAAGAACACCTCCTTGGGCATTCTTGCTGTATTCAAAGCACACGGCTCCTAAATATGTACAGACATATCGGGTGTTGTTGTTTAGTCGTTCCATTTGTTTTAATGGTGCCTTAAGGGCGTTGCCATTTTTATTTGGAAACTAAAATACTAACGTTTATTCACAAAGCGCTTTTGGAAAAACAAATATTAGAATGTGCTTGGCATAGAACGGAAATAAAAATAAAAAGCCACTAAAAAAATCACTGGTAGAAATAATATTTGATGTCCATGCCGGGTCATGGTGAGCTTATGGCAACACGAGCGGCAGGCTCCTTCCTGTCTGGTCGGTAACCGCAGCATCCATCATCTGTCCTTAGTGATGAAAGTTGCAGTTTAAATTGAACGTTTTGCTTTACAGTCATGTACAGTCGTGGTCGTTTCTTGTCGTGTAACATACGTGTGGTGTCAGCGTGGCGGGTGAGGCCGGTACGCGGACTGTAGGCGCTGCTCTGTCAGCTTGCATTTTTAATGTTATACGTAACACCTGTATGTTTCCTGCTGTGCCGTGAAGGAGGCCTCTGCTGCTCTTATTGAAGTATACACCGACAGTTTGGATGCAGCACTGTTAATATTTAAATAGTGCGCACTTCTACTTTTACTAATACGTATTCTACGTAAGTACGTATTTCTCCATCACACATGTTGAGTTAGATGCAGAAGATGCAATGCAAACGCTGTGGAGCTACATACATTTAAGTAGTCCTCATTTTACAATTTAATGATTTAATATAGTGAAGTAAAAAGACAAAATTAGTATGTAAGTAATATGTTAAATTTCTTCATGTAACATATCAAGTAGAGATGTACCAGCACTATTTGGATCGTTTTGTTGACCAGCTGCACTCGGCCGCTGTCGCCTGTTGAAAGATGTTTTTATACCAAGAAGTTAGCAAATGAGGTCAGAGGTCGCAGGCTTGGCATTGCTGTTTAACGTAACAAAAGTGCTGAACCACTTAGTGGCCGAGCAAGTGTATTTCTGGCTTCGCTCTCACCATAACAATCGAGGCGATACATTTCCCTGTACAGGCACCTTCATGTTACTGGAAGCACACAGCAAGTGAAGTTAGATGTTTTTTCCGGGGCGCATTGTGTGCGCAAGACATTTTTACAACCCTTCGGGATCTGAAGCTACGCACTCTCGGGCTTGTGAGTTCACATGCAGACACGTTAAGCTCTGAAGCGAGAGGAATGTGATTTCAGCTGATTTTGTACCGTGTAACCGTACGAAGTCTCAGTCGTCTCCTCTCTTTAACCCCTGCGCATCTCTTTTTACTTTCTCGGTCTCTTCTTCTCTCTCCTCATCTTTGGTTGGATTCTCTTTAAAAGGGTCTTTTAAAGTCTTGCATTCTTTTTCCCGCAACAGTAGCATTGCATAGATGAATATAGATAAATATAATATTAGGTTAGAATCAAGCCGGGAAGATGCTATGCAATTTATGCATTCATCTATTAAATTGTGTCCGTTCATATGATGACCTTTCGTTTTGAAGAATATCCTCCCGCCAGAGACGTATGAAGATACATTTATTGTGTCGGGCCGCTGCTGAACGATGCTCGTGCGTATGCAGTGACAGATACAACTACGTATTGGTGGGATCCTGGTTCGGATGTCAGAGGGAAGGAGGGGCCCAGAGGACATTATAACTGTCTTTAATCTGGCTGAGCATACAATATGGATAATCCGCTCTCTCTTACTTACAATTTCTGACAATTTGACGGGTGAAACAAGTATGTAATCTCCCTGAGATTATTGAAATCTCCCGTCTCTCATTTGTCTCTCAGACTCCTCTTTTTTCTTTTCCACTCACACTTTGTACCTTTGCGCGTAGTTTTTCCAACGAGGGCCGCCGTCATTACACCTAACTCTTTAAAACAGACGTGAGCAATTATTCGACCGGTCGAAACAAACATTGCCACCCTCGCTACTCAGCACCGGATTAACCGGTTGGTTTTATTCATTTTGTCAATGCACACAATTCCATATCGACGCACGCCGTCTCAGCTGTCGCTGTGGGAAGCCGGCGGTCCTCGTGCAGCAGTGGCAGCCTCCCCGCTCTGATCCAAACTCCTGCTCCTGACTCACTTCCACCTCGTCACGTTCTCCGGGCCCACGCCTGCCAACCGCCCCCCCTGTTTCTGAAATAGCGGCACGGTTCAGCACTCGGTTGGGTTCTCCCCATAGTGCAGATGTGTGCGGTGAAATAAGGCTAAACGCTGATAGAACAAAGCAGAATAATATCTAAACTCCCAATGTTATTAAACGTGGATAAACCTGGCACACCCAAGATACTAGTAGTTAGCCTAGAGCGGACGCCAAAACCTAACTCCCCGCTGACGTGTCGTCAAATAAACCCCAGCGGACATTTTGACTTCAGCAGCATTTCCAATACAGTGTGGTTATTGACAAATGTGGTTATTGACACACATTAACCTTACAGATTAAACATTTTAAGACCAGTCTTAAGTAACTGATCTCATGAGGATGTTGGCTTTTTGTGCATTACAAGGTCGTACGGCAAATTTTGTGGGATAAAACGATCATTATGTAATGTAGTAAAGCACGCAGAATGATCCCAACACCAGCCAGTAGATGCTGGTCTGATGAGTGTGTGTGTGTGTGTGTGTGTTGACACAAAGGGAATCTGGATTACATCACCTACACAATATGCTGAGGGACTAAACAGCACACAGTTGCTCCTGCTTGTCGGATGGGAGCATGTCTTAGTATATTCCACAGGGAGGGACGTCAGTGTCACTCAACAGTCCAAACGACCTTGAAGCCTCCAAAGCCGACGACTCTAGAACAACCGAATCCTTCACTGGCCGTGACTACAGAGTTTACCCACAGTTTACCTGTTTGCTAACTTTCTTTCTCTTCTGTTTATCCTCCCCCCCTTCCATCCCCCTCCCTTCCTCACGTCAGGCTCCGACTACTCTCCCCCTCCACCCCTTCCTCCCCCGGCCCTCACCAACGAACTCAGTGGCGTGGGCGACCACGGCGGGGGAGGGGGCGGGGCCAACCACGGGGTGGGCGTGGTGGGCCTGGCCCCGGAGCACATCGCCACGCCGGGGGCCGCCCTGAGCTGGCAGGCGGCCATCGACGCCGCGCGGCAGGCGAAGATAATGGGTAACCCCGCGTCAGGCGGAGGGGCGGGGCTCGGGACGGGAGGGGGCGGGCCCATCTCCACGGCCAGCTCCACGCAAAGGAAGAGACAGCACTACAGCTCCAAGCCCAAGAAACAGACGACGACGACGGCCACCAGGCCACCACGGGCCCTGCTGTGCCTCACACTCAAGAACCCCATCCGCAGGGCCTGCATCAGCATCGTCGAGTGGAAGTATCCTTTGGCCAACCACGAGTGTGTGTGTGTGTGTGTGTGTGGGAGGGGGGTTTGCCCGGGGACGCGCTTCACTCTGATCTTCTAAATGTTTCTACCCGGGGTTGCCCCGAATGGAAAGCTGTTTCCGAATCTATTCTCTCAAGCTCTCCTGGTTCTCTGAGTCACGTTTTAAATCAAGTTGCCTTCTTCTATTATGCGCTACCTTTTAATTAACCAGGAGACAGTTGCATTGATATTCATGAAGGACGTCCTGGCCAAGACACAATTAACAACGTGGCACAAAAAGACAATACACATAAAGTCGTAGAATTCAACTGCTCAAACATTCAGTATTACTGTACGGTTCAGTACTGTTTACTGGTTTGCAAAAAACAAAGAAATGCACAGTTGCAGCATGGATAAGAGTAGAAGAAGAAGAAGGATGACAAGAAAAGAGAACAGGACACAAACATGCTTGGAATGCGCATCTCACGTCCTCTGTCCTCTCTTCTAAACCGTACTCTTTTTTTTTTTAAAGTCAATCTGTCGCCTTTCATGCATCTCAGTGTGATTCTTTGCTCTCTATTCACTCGTCCTAATCCTTTCTCCCCTTCCTCTGTCTGCCCCTCTCTCTCTCTCTCTCTCTCTCCCCCTCTTTCATCTCACAGCCTTTTCTCACAGGGGGATGAAACAAATTGTGTCATTTTCTTCCCTCGTTCACACCTCTCCCATCTCCCGTCTTTCCCCCTAGCTCGTTCTAATTGCATTCATCCTCTCTCCCCCAGGTTCCCCCATGCCTTTCCTCCCCCCTTTGCTTCCTCCTCGTCTCCCTCGCTATTTTTTATTGCTCTCTCCCTCCCTCGTGCTCTGTCCATTCAAATCCCTTCATTCCTCCTGTTCCTCCACCCGTCCTTCCTTTCTACCCATCCTTTTCTTTTTTTTTTTCTAAGCTGCTGAACATAATGACTTGCTTTTCGCTCGGGGTGAGACGGAGGGAGAAACACAGCAACGGTCAGTGTCACAGTCAAAGAGACTGATAATAGGAGAGGGTTCTCATGAGCTTCGGCTTGGCAGAAGCACAGACGCACATGGCGCTGAGCGGTAGACAAGTAGAGGGAGAGAGGGGGCGAGAGGGGCCGGGGTGTGGGCAGGACATGGACGTCGACAGGGGAGATGATTGAGCGGATTAGCCGAGGTGGGAGGGAGGGAGGGAGCGAGGGGAGGGATGGGGAAGGTAAACAAGAGAAATGACAGTGCAGGAGGAGGAATGGAAAGAGAGTGGAAAGCAGAGCGAGTTGGAGAGGGAGGAAGACGAGTAGACGGCAGTTTTGATGTGAAGAGCCACACTCTTGAGTCCACAGTGGGGTGCATCTGTTGATGCATCGCACTCCAAAACAAAACGACTCCAGATTTCCCGTTGGCACAGCCCGGCCTTTTAAAGTTTGAATGTGCTCTGTGTGGTAAAGCAATGGATGCTGGCAAAGTATCACCTTGTGTTTTCACTAACATCCAAACTAAATGCATGTACTATGGTGTTAATGTGAAAACATGCGTAAACCCTCAGGGTCACTAAGCCTATCTCAACCAATGACGGCTGAGCGTTCCGACCATTACCCACCATTCCCTGCATCATTCAGTTAAACAGCTCTGAAGGGTTGGGAGGTTGAGAGAGAGAGGGCGAGAGAAAGGTGAGGGATGCAGATGAGTCGGGGGGAAAGACGAGAGCGTCACCAGGATGGAACCAAAACATTAGCATGATCGGAGCAAGTTTTGCCCTTAAAAAAGATCCACGTCAAACTGTCAGCTCGTCCGTCTCACCATTCTACTTTGGTCCGTCCGCTGTGGGCTGGTTTAGAAGCAGCCCGCGTTTGAACAGCGGCGACTGCGCGCTGTACTGTATGCACGTGTACAGCGTTCATGTGTTGCTTCTATAGGGTTTATGGGGGCGTATGTGTGTGTGTGTGCGTGTGTGGGTGTGCGCGCGTGCACATGTGTTTGACCTTTATTCCGCGAGTATCTCCGTCTCTAGAGGCGGCAGATCCGAAATCTTCCTCTCTCCCTCCTCTGTTACCATGACAACAGCTGCGGCTCTCAACAGGTCGATGGGGCCCCTCTGAGCTCATGCATGCACCGAAACACACACTTAAATCAGAGAGCACACACAGATACACTTTGGCAGAACGCACACAGACACGTAAACACGCAAACACACACAAAGACAAAGACACGGCGCACTTGCATGCTGTGTAATTATAGTATTCAAGCATTACCTGCATTACCTGAGAGACAAGGAGAGTGCAAAGGCTAACTACCACGTTCTCTATCGAAAATCACACCGAGTGGTCATTCAAAAAATGTCTTTGAGTGAATTTACTCACACACACACACACTGACACACACGCTTAGGCTTAGAAATTGAATCCGGTCAAATGAGGGGTTACACTATTTTTCTGAATTTACACACTCAATCAGAAAAAACTGATAAATATTCTGGGCATAACACAGGGGAGTGCTGAGGCCGCTCTCCCGGATAATATCAGCATATCCCCGGTTTCTCATACCAACTTTGTCGAGATAGGAGACTATCTGTGTAATTGTGAGCCGCATGTGGAGGTTAATGTCAGGCAACTGTATTTTAGAGAAACACACGCCTGGCGGCGTGTCCGTGGATGCAAATCCTAATGGGACAATTGGTTTTAGTTCGGTAAGATGCTGAATGTCTATTTTATATTCTGCTTTCAGTTGTATTCTGTTATTTCTGTTTTTCTGGAGCCGTCAGTTTCAATCACCATCCTCAGGTCGTGGCAGCATTTTCAGCATCAACAATCTTTTTATTGATTGCATTGACAGTAGACTTGGAACTTTTCGATTCTTCTCTCAGTCTTTCATGCATTCTCCCCAGTGTTGTTTCGTTCTCAACAGCACCGCAGAGTAGATTTATTATCATGTTGATGGAAGCGGACCGCAAGTTTTTTTTTTAAATTATGGGTCAGGAACCCGGAGAGAGCAACAGGCCTGTTTTGCTGCGGGTCTCTGTGTGTCCAGAGGGTGTCTTAATGGGCCCCCGTCACAAGGGTGACTGATGAACTTGGATGCATTTTGGTCCCTAGTGTAATGATCTTTTGGCCGTTGTTTTTCAAGTCAATCCTTAATCCAAACATGAACTGAGTATTAGGTCTTTTTTCTTCCCCTCTTCTGGAGGGACCACACACAGCAACGTGACTGTAGGTGGTGCAAGTTTGTTAGCGTTGTTAAGTTTACTTCTTATTTTGACTGAAGCTTTGTAGTTTATTTGTCGTCATAGTTCTGTGTCTCCTCGTTCATACTAACCGTACGTCCAATTTTCAAATAATAACCAGCACCACAATCCTCAGAAACATCACGTCAAATGTCACCATGGATACATTGTAATGCCCTTGAAGATATGGATCAATGTTCTTCCCATTGGATCACTTTCTCAAGTAGTGCTTCTAACTCCATTGTTTTAGTCTTGACAGGATGTAGTCGGTTTCACTACACCCACATCCAGCGCCCTCCAACTTTGGTGAAGTCTCCCCAAAAGGATCCGTCGTTCCTTCGCACCTCTAAAAACTACATCTCTCTCCTGTGTCTTGTGTTGTCCAGAAAGTTTTCAATTCAGTGAAGCAAAATCCTGCATTCACGGTGTGGCGTTGAACACGACTGCCGGGTAACCGTAATATATAAAGTTTGCTTCTGACGTGTCTTCCGGATCAGGAGTTCCTAACTGCATGTCAAGTTAGAAGACTAACTTGACATGCTGGGAAAATGGACAAGGGAGAAAGTGAGGAAGAAAAGAAGGAAAGAAGAAAGCAGAAGAGCTAAAGGAGGTGACAGCAGTGGCAGTTAGTAATTGTGTTGACGAAAACCAGACCTCCTTTATCTCTCCCTCCCTCTCTCTCCTTCTCTCCATTCTTTCTCACTTTTACTCTCCCCCTCTCCCTCCGAGCGAGGCCAAAAATAATGAGGTCGCTCCCCTCTCAAGGACCGTTCCTCTCCCTCTCTCTCTCTCTCATTCCACCTCCCCTCCTTCCCTGTCCACATCCCGTCTTCCACGCGACAGGCCTGCTCCTCGACACACCCGTATTAGGGCATGCACTGTCTCTCCGACCCCCCCCGATCCCCCCGTTGCACACACAAAGAGCTTCCTAAGTGACCCAATATGTCTTATTGTTAAAGCAAAGGCAAACTCAACAGCTTTGATCTCTCCTCTAGTGTACACTGCTAGTGCAGTCTGCTGTGTGTGTCTGTGTGCGTGTGTGTGTGTACACCTCTGCTTATGTAAGGGTGTATTAGCTTGTTTAAAAATACCTGCTGGTTGAACTAACAGGTCTCATGTGAAGACTCTTCTCTATTTGGGAAGGTGGTATTTCGTGCTGTCTGCCATAAGGTTTTTCCTGGATCATTGTTCTCTTCAGGACGGGCCAGTCCTCCCATTCACCTGAAGCATGTTTTAACCCCCCCGGGCGGGCTGGGGAGGGAGGGAGGGATGGAGGGAGGGGGGGAGGGTGCGGCGGGGGAGAATGCAGACCAGACCGGCGCCGTACTTTCCAACCGAAACCCCGTGGGATTACGAGACGTCCAGCGTCACACAGTCCCCCGGTGTCGATGGGCCATTAAGTGACCCCCCTCCCACAACCCCCCCAACACAACCCTGCTAAGCCAGACTGAGCGTGAATGATAGATGAGGTCTGCCTTCCAGAGAAGGACTTGGAGTAGGATCCTACTAACGTTCAATAAATATATATATATATATATATATATCCTGGGGGACTCGTCGCTCCTCAAGGACCTGCCGTTCCCTGATGCAGGTTGGGTGCAGCCTGCACTGATGCTGAGGCGTGACCTCCCTATTCCAGAATAGAAGGTCCCTCCTGGCCTGAACAAAGTGGAATGTTTCCATTTCAAAATGGGAGAGTTACGTCAACACAAGACTGGGCCGGACTAGGGTTATTGTACTGAGACATGGGACACTTCAAATATTCTTTTTTTGTGTGTGCGCGTAAGTATGCTATTTGGTAATGTCTTTATTTATTTTTAAATAATCAATGTTTTCTCCCCCCGGCAGGTACTGCTGGTTGTCCCATCATATCATTTTAAAGTGCTCACAATAAATAAAGACATGATGAATTATCTCCACGGGCTAAATGTCGCTGTACTTCCTGTTATGTGTACTGTCTTCCGCTGTGTGTATTCTTTAACCGTCCTCTCAGACCATTCGAGATCATCATCCTGATGACCATTTTTGCCAACTGTGTGGCCTTAGCCGTCTACATCCCGTTCCCGGAGGACGACTCAAACGCCACCAACTCCAACCTGGTGAGTGATCTGAAATAATGAAACCCTTTAACAGCTACTAACTTCGCTCACTTGCTGGTCAGTCCACCTGTAGCTGGTTTAAGTAGCTTGCTTTGGCCTGTTGGAACACAGGATTCTCTGGTTTTTGCTCTGTTTCTTTGCCATGCGGATTATCGTGACTGACTTTTCGTTAGGCGCGCGGTTGATTTCTGTAACATTTCATCAGAAGACTTTTCTGTTAATTAGCAATACTGAGCAGCGTGTCATTAAGCAGTGTGTGTGAGTTGCTGCCGTGTGAACACGAGGCAGGAAAGGCGGATACTTTATTCCACCGTGAGGAGTTCCTGAAGGTGAAAGGTGTGGGGAGTGAAAGGAGAGCACAGACAAATAGTTGTGAGTGGGAGGGAACAAGGAAAATTGAATTAGCAGTAGCAGTGAATGTCTATTGTTTGAATTAATATGCTCTTTGAACGTCATTCCCTCTTTTGTTGGTTTTTTGCATGCAGCAAAGTTGTTGGTTATAATGAACATTGAGAGTTTGAGGATCTGACCCACTGGACAGATCACAGGGCTTTAAATCAGCACGATAAGCTATTTCTGCGTGTTTTTAAGTCAGTGTGTTTGTGTCAGCTCGCAGATATTTGCCAGTGTATTAGTGTGAGAAGGACACTAATCCCTCTGAGGCCATGGAACATCTGTCTCTCTTCCTTTCTAAGAAATGACTCGGACACATTTTCTTCTTTTTGATAGCTCGTGCTGTACTGTGCTTTTTTAGATTTCCTTTTGCTTCATGTGACTCTTGCTGTTAACCTCTGCTTCTGAAAAGTGGAGCCAATGTGACCACGGCCTGGACCTTGCATGGTCTCTGGAATTGAATGACTTTGTGGTCGCATTAAGTCGCATTGAGTCGCTTTTGCCTCAGAGGGCTTTACAATAAAAAAACAAGATGGCGACCTCCAAAAGGCAAAATGTCATAAATGAGCTTTACTGTCAGTTCTGGATAATGAAGGATGTCAGAAGATCCAGCGGCCCAGCATGATTTAACCAAAGGAATGTGAGGGACATTGCTGATAAAGTCGCGGTGGACTTAATGGAGATGAGCAAAGCGATGCAATGGGCCTTCATTTGCTTCAGAAGGTACGTACCCTTCTGATCCTCCTTGAACGGTTTAGTGTCGGAGCAGGTATGAGTCAGTAGAAGAGCAAATAGGACGGCAGCTGCTTTCATCTTCTCTGCCTCAGATCAAGTGTTGGCGATCACATGAAACTCACTGATTAAATGTTTTCAGGCGGATAACAGTAAGTCGTCCGTCTCCTGATATCCATCATCACAATGAGGAGAGCTTCGATGCCTTTGATTTAGCCCTTTTCCTTTACTGCATACAGCATGAAGCGTTAAGCGCACGATAAGTTTGGCTTTGCATGTGTTGAGGTATTCCATCCTTGCAGGGTTATGTATCCCCCGACCGGTGACCCTCCGAATGGCTCCCCAGTGGACGGAAAGAGAGACACACACACACACATGCGGACACAGGCACACGCTGAACCTACTCACCACCACAGCTGTGGTCGATTAGTTTTATGACCTTCTGACAGACAGGAAGCAGCGTGCTGATGGACTAAAGGCTTAAATACATGTTTGAACCCTCTATCAGCGTGTGTTTGTGTTCATTTGTTACTTTTTTGTGTCCAGGCACCTAAAGGAAAACCTGATAAAGAGCAATATCCGTGTATAATATTTAAACGTCTTCAGCTTGCCGTCGAGCAGCACATTCACCGAGTGATGCTTTTATTGTCACCCAAATAACACAAACAGTAACCAATCAAGGCTCTTGTGTACTGAAAGGTAAAAAAAAACTGTTCTTTGTCCCATGAGTCTGACAAGGTAATACGGCGAGCATTTTCCAAATGCTCTTTTGGGCTTCTCTTTTCAGGTTGCTAAAATATTTTAGCAGTACAACGCTTTGGTTTGTTTCTTTTTCTTCATACTAAAACAGAGTCGACAGTTATCTGGAATAGGCGACACTCTGACTGTAGATTAGCAACCTCGTGCAACACCGCTGCAAAGAAATCCAAACGAAATGCCCCTTTGTGTAAATTTACTTTGTGTTATGCATTCACTTTAACTTTTTGCCTTACTCAGTTCTTGTATATTGTTGGTGAGTAGACCCCCAAAAACCCCAGAATCCATCTCACATCCCACTTGCGTATTTACTTGTGTCACAAGTATTTATGTCATTTAAGATAATGCATTTATCAAGAGTTGTCCCTGATGGCTGTTAGGCTCTAAAAGACACAACTGACTCGTCATGCACAAGAATGCAACCTCATTGTTCTTTCCAGCTACTCGGGTGAACATTGTCTTCAAGCCATTCCGAGTAGTTCCTTGCAGCGTTGTTACCTCTGCATTCCACTCTGCAACAAACTGTGAGGTAACCCTCATTAAACCGAATGCGAGTCGGAGCCGGGGGAGGCCTCCAAACAGTCCCTGCATCAAAGCTCTTCTCACATTGTTGTGTCACCCCTCCCCCCTTATTAAGTATCGTTGTCTTTGGTTTCTTTCTTGCCATGCGGGGTGAGAAAATGCTTAGCCCCTCGTGGTTTTGTGTGCTCGCCCACGTAGCTTTTATTTCTTTTCTTTTCTCTGCCGTTTTTTTCAAAAACGTTTGTAAGTAAACTACAGGTTTATGCAAAGTTTGACCTTTTAGTGGGGCATAAGCCTAAAACTGCTGCATCATGACTGTGGCTCAGTATCCTGTTGATGCCCTTTATATCTACCCCTACCCTAAGTGCGGTTAAGCTTTGGAATCAATGCGGCACCCCCTCACTACATTTGCACAGGTCTTTCTTATGTAATACCAGAGATCTGTTGTACCGCTTCCAGAGCATGGTTTCTATTTCCGTCGTCATCCCATAATGTGCCGCTCAGTCTCCTTGACGACATGCCCAATAATAGCAGCGGGAGAGGTTGTCATGGATATGGTAACCGTAGTGATGCTCCCCATCTGTCCTTGGTTACAGAGGAAAGATGGATAGGAACCAAAGTTGGGGAGAGTTTTTTCTCCCAGGCAGGAAATGCATGTTGTACTTTGGCTACTTCAGCTCAGGTAAAAAAAAAAAGGTAAAATTCAAACTACATTGTGGAGCTATAGAGTAAAAAAAAACCTTCCCTGCCTGTGGCTGATCTATTTCTCCTCTAAACTGTTTCTGTTTCTCTCCCTCTTTTCCCCCCAAATCACCTTCTCCCTCTTTCACCCCCTACTGAACATTCCTGCTTCTAATCAGATCAATACGGATAATTTCATACCACAAACCAGGCAATTAGCTAATCAATACCCCTGTCGAAGCACAAAAACACACACGTGCAAAGAAGCGCACACTTTTTGACGCTAAGTCCTGTAAGCAAAGATGAGACCTAAAAGGATTCAGCGATTGAGGTTGGAGCAGAGGTGTCAAAAGTATTCACATTCATTACTCAAGTAGAAGTACAGATACTAGGGTTTAAAAAGACTCCTGTGGAAGTTGAAGTACCGACTAAAGCTTTTTACTTAAGTAAAAGTATAAAAATGCGAGTGTCTATTTTGTGTAGTCAGACTAAGCGTGACATGTTTTACACCACAACCACACCGACCAGCATCAGAGCGGAGGTCGGCGTGGTCATTTGGACGCTTGGCAGTAGCCGGCGGTCTACTCTGCCTCCTCTATGTGGTGGATGCTTTCCTTCCGTACATAGCCAAGTGGTTTTAGCTGCCAAAGGTTAACGAGAGCGATTTACAGCTGATACCGACACACTTTTGCCTCCTTAATAATTGATTGTACTCCAAGGGATGATGGGACTTGTACATTTTCTAGTATCCATCCCCCGATGGGTGCTTTTCAACCACCTTGCTGGGGAGCAGCTTGGAGTGGTCCTTTGCTCTTTTCTGTGTATGTGTTGCTAAAAATCATTTTAGCTTGGCTGTCACGGTGGATTAGGTTCATTGTTTGTTTACCTCCTATTACCAACATATCATCTCCAATGTTGTCTGCCGTTTGATCTTTAGTCCCCACAAGTCCTCCTCCTCCTCCTCGCTGTCCATTCTGCTGTTGAGGATCAAGTTAACAGGCCGTTCCTCTGCTGGTTGCTAGGAGTGTCTATTTATAGACGGAGAGGAACGATCAGCATCTGTCTGTACGTTCACTTATCTAAACAGCGTTGGTCTGTGTTTTCTGGTGGTGATGGTGGATGTGTGTGGATGTGTGTGTTTTTTTTGTGTGTGCGTTTGCACCTCTGAATAGTCACAGTGGAATGCAACTGCTCCGGCTGCATCCAGATAAGGATGTAGATGCGTGTGTGTGTGTGTGTGTGTGTGTGTGTGTGTGTGTGTGTGTGTGTGTGCGTGTGTGTCTGTATTTGTGTGCATTTGGAATTTTATGAATTTATTATGACGTTTACCCATAGGATGTGAGAGTGTGTGTGTGTGTGTGTGTGTGTGTGTGTGTGTGTGTATACAGTATTCAAACAGACGGAGATGCTGTATCTTATCTGGTCTTATACACATTAGCAGGGCCTTGCACACAGATGGGAAACTTGAAATCCCTTGCAAGTTTTCTGCAGTACAACAAGTTCCAACCGTGCGGAAGCCTGGGGAGTCATTATTTGGAATATTATAAATGCTGTTCCCTTTTTGGCTCCCAGAGGAAGCAAGGAATACCCTAGCTGCCATTTCTGTTAGAGACATGGGTGCTTTCCAACTCCAACTCCAGAGTTACTACTGCAGAGTGCTGTTTGGTTTCAGCTTTATTTGTTCCACATTTTGGAGCCATTGTGCTAATTCCCAGTGTAACTGAAAATGAACCTTGAACATGGGATGTTTATCCACTTTCTTTTCTTATTCAAGCATTGTATTGCTGACTTTTATTATTTGTTTTATGTCACAAATATGAAATGGAAATCAGGAAAACCATTGGATTAATTAAATATATTTGAATTGAATAGCATTGGGTAGGTTGTTTTTGTTCTCCATATATTGCTATTGGTAA